ACGTTGATTAACAGCTGTAGCTGCCAATGGCAGGGCGGGTAGGGCGTGCGCTCCCTACCCGAAAATACATTTTTCGCAGCCCTGCCACCCTGTAACAATATTTGTGCTATAGGGCAGCGGGGAAGCGGCTAAAAAAAAACAGCAAACAACAAGCATGTCTATACTCACCTGCTGTGTACAGTGGTTTTGCACAGAGCAGCCCCAATCCTCCTCTTCTCGGATCCCCCACCGGAACTCCTGGCTCCTTCCCCCTGCTGAGTGCCCCCACAGCAAGAAGCTTGCTGTAGGGGCACCTGAGCAGGATTGCTCCCAAGCCCTGGTGCTTTGTGTCCATTCACACACAGAAGTGGATCCTGGTATAACTGCTCGCTACCCAGGACATTTATTTACATACGTTAAGCAGCAAGCAGTTAATACCTTTCTTGGGGAACACATCCCTGCACATCCTGATATATTCAGGCTTCCGGAATTCTCACATACAGTAACTCACAGAAGGAAGTACAGCCCTCACATTTTTGTAAATATTTTATTCCCCTCAAAATAACTGAACACACAGCCATTAATGTGTAAACCGCTGGCAACAAATAGTACACCACTAAATGAAAATGTACCAATTGGCCCAAATTAGCCATTTTTTTCCCTCCCTGGTGTCATGTGACTCGTTAGTGTTACAAGGTCTCAGGTGTGAATGGGAAGCAGCTGTGTTAAATTTGGCGTTATCGCTCTCACTCTGTCATACTGGTCACTGGAAGTTCAACATAGCATCTCATTGCAAAGAGGATCTGAAAAAAAGAATTGTTGCTCTACATCAGTGTTTCTCAACTCCAGTCCTCATGGACCCCCAACAGGTCATGTTTTCAGGATTTCCATTATTTTGCACAGGTGATTTGATCAGTTTCACTGCCTTAGTAATTACCACAGCTGTTTCATCTGAGGGAAATCCTGAAACCATGACCTGTTGGGGGTCCATGAGGACTGGAGTTGAGAAACACTGCTCTACATAAAGATGACCTAGGCTATAAGAAGATTGCCAAGACCCTGAAACTGAGCTGCAGCACGGTGGCCAAGACCATACAGCAGTTTAACAAGACAGGTTCCATTCAGAACAGGCCTCGCCATGGTTGACCAAAGAAGTTGAGTGCACGTGCTCAGCGTCATATCCAGAGGTTGTCTATGGGGAATAGACGTATGAGTGCTGCCAGCATTGCTCCAGAGGTTGAAGAGATGGGGGGGGGTCAGCCTGTCAGTGCTCAGACCATACGCCGCACACTGCATCAAATTGGTCTGCATGGCTGTCGCCCTAGAAGGAAGCCTCTTCTAAAGATGATGCACAAGAAAGCCTGCAAACAGTTTGCTGAAGACATGCAGACTAAGGACATGGATTACTGGAACCATGTGCTGTGGTCTGATGAGACCAAGATAAACTTGTTTGGTTCAGATGGTGTCAAGCGTGTGTGGAGGCAACCAGCTGAGGAGTACAAGGATAAGTGTGTCTTGCCTACAGTCAAGCATGGTGGTGGGAGTGTCATGGTCTGGGGCTGCATGAGTGCTGCTGGCACTGGGGAGCTACAGTTCATTGAGAGAACCATGAATGCCAACATGTACTGTGACATTCTGAAGCAGAGCATGATCCCCTCCCTTCAGAGACTGGGCCGCAGGGTAGTATTCAACATGATAACGACCCCAAACACACCTCCGAGACGACCACTGCTCCCTCAGCCTAAGCACTGCACCCAGTCCCCAAGTAAAATAATCCAGCCCGTGTAGCTGCTGGGGGGAGACAGTGTCAGTTGCAGGTATAATGTGTATAAAAATACCAGGAGGAGTAGTCCCAGAAAACACTCAATCCTTGAGCCTGCAAACCCAGGCTTTACCCTCAACACCACACATTACTTACACCATTCTCTGAATGGCAACATAATTATTTTTGTCTGTGGGCAGAATAGTTCTCCATCATTGATGTCAGTGGTAGAAATAGTGCTCCATCGTTGGTGTCCATGGGTGGAGAAATAGTGCCCCATCGTTGGTGTCAGTGGGAGGCATAGTGCCCCATCACTGGTGTCCATGGTAGAAATAAAGCCCCATTGTTAGTGCTGGTAGGAGGAATAGTGCCCTATAGTTGGTGTCAATGGAAAGAATAATGCCACATCATTGCTGTCGGTGGGAGGAATAGTGCCCCATCATTTGTCAGTAGGAGGAATAGTGCCCCATCGTTGATGCCAGTAAGAGGAGGAATAGGCCCCATTGTTGGTGTCAGCAAGAGGAGGAATAGTGCCTGATTATTGGTGTCAGTAAGAGGAAGAATAGTGTCCCATCACTGGTGTCAATGAGAAATAGTGGTCCATCATTGTCAGCAAAAGAAAGAGTGCTAGATCAATGGTGTCAGTGGGAGGGATTGTGCCTCATTATTGGATGATGGAAAGAAACTTATCCTTTTGCTGGTATCAGTGGAAGGAATAGACCTCAAGGACTAGTTAAAGGCAAGCAAAGGTAGGCTGCAGTTTGAGGTCTAGGTTAGAGCATTTGTCAGTATTTTATTGTCATCTGTGTCCCTATTAGAGCAATATTTTTCCTTGTTTTCTGTTAGGACAGGAAGCGATGGTGGATCTTTCAGATGGGGGTGCACACAAAAAAATAAACACATTTCACTTTTCATACAATGAGGGAGGGTTTAATTTGTAAACAATTTGGTTATTATTAGGCTTTAAGTAACAGATTTGCTATTATTCGGAACAATATTTTATTGTGACATTATTTTATGGGCTTCAGCATACACAGTTATATCTGTCAAACTATCTGTTTGGCTAATTCATATGCAATCCTAGTTGCCAGTTCAATGGAAGAATTTACTAAGAATAATACAAAATAGGATTCCCACTCTAGTACTTTCAGTATTTGATGATATCTGTGGGATGTAAGGCCCAATTTATAAGGCTGAAGGAGATATGCAAATTTTTTGGGGGATAATCGTGAAATGTTCAGTTAACAAACTTTACTTAGTTTAATATTTTTTCTTCTGCATGAAATAAACATTCTACTGTTGAAAGCCTAAATTTCATATAATTTGGCTGTTTACTTCCTCTGTGAAAAGCGGAATTAAAGTGCCAATATTTGGGCCTCTTCATTGGCCAGGGGGAGATAATGACACTCCTGTGCATGTGCAGAAGGCTGTCATCCCAGCACTCAGAGACCAGCCCAGTGGTGTAAGCTGAGCTGTGCATGTGCAGCTCAGCTTACAGTGCCAGAGAAGACGACGAGCATGCAGGTAGGGGCATTTTATTGCAGAAGGGACATTGCATGTTGGTGTTGCCTTTTTATGTGTTTTTTACTTAAAGTGATTGTAAAGGTTTGTTTTTTTTCTCTTAAAATAACAAACATGTCAATGGTTTTACACATAACAGATCCCCTCTTCTCAGGTCCCCCGCCTGTGCTCCTGGCTCTCCCCCTGCTGAGTGCCCCTACAGCAAGCTGCTTGCTATGGGAGCACTCGTGCATGTACAGTGCCCTGCTCTGTGTGCTAAGACAAGTCGAGTGCTGTCCAGCCACTGCTCCCTTGGGATGACTCTGAATGACAGCAGTGGAAACCAATGAGAAGCAAGAGGGCTGAGAGAGCCTCGGTTCTCATGCAAATCGTGGATTGAGATTGGGCTCAGGTGAGTATTTACTGTACATGCAGCTTGCCATTGCATAATGCAGTACGGTAAAAAACCTTCTGTTTACAACCAATTAGGCAACTTTGAACCGAGACATGTACATAGCTTGCCATTCACAGCTGATTCTGTTTAAAATTGCTCTTGACTGGTTGCCATACTGATTCACTGACCAATAAAAGTATGTATATCAAGGTTTCCTACATCACTTGCTGCATGCTTGTTCCAGGCCAGTGATTCTGATAGTGTTGGGGTCAAAAACAGCCAGGAACCTAGCTATTTAATAACGGGAGCAGCAATTGTAACCATCTGTATTTCTTTGCATGGTCGTCTTCCAACAGTGCTATTCATTATCTTGCCTGGTAGAATATTGCATTTAAGGGGTTAGGCTGGCCATACATTATACAATTATCTGCAGATTTTCTGCCCAATTTCCTTTAGATTTACCTTCAACTATGTAGTGCAAGGGCCTGCCTAATTGGATACAACTGAAAGTGTTGTTTAGGTTTGTCCTCCTATTATATGGTTTTTGGTAAATCTAAACCAAAAATCTGCAGATAATTGTATAATGTATGGCCAGCCTTAGTTCACCTGTACAAAAAACTGCTTATGCAGATAAGGGGTGTTTGTAGATGAAGACAAACTGGGCAGCTCTGACTAAAGTTGAATAATTCCCTGACTATAAGTGTAGGCCACTTACATACCACCCAAAGCCTGTCTGGAATACTCCCAGGACATTACTAAGTGAGGCCTAGTCATTACTGTTCACCTCCACCATCACAGGAGTAAACGTTTTCTCTGATTCAGAGCCTCTCACATGGCCTTTCTCTCCCCTGATGCAGTAGCTCTGAGCTCAGAGTTTAATAGCTCATTGCTGTGATGGAGCAGGTGAGCAGTAATGACTAGGCCTCTCATAGGAACGCCTTAGCAACATCCTGGAAGTATTCCAGTCAGGCTTCAGGAGGTATGTAAATGGCCTACTCCTGTAGCAAGGGCATTGTTCAACTTTAGTCAGAGCTGCAAAGTTTGTTTTTATCTAAAGACACCCCTTATCTGCATAGTCAGTTGTTTGGTAAAAGTGACTTAACCCTTCAATTTTGTTTTGTGCATTTATTTTAAAAATAGTGGCATAAAATAAGAGTGTAGGCTCTTCCTGCATAGTTTAAAATATACCGTAAAGCAGCTATAGTCACAGTCAGTTTGACAGCAACAACTTTATTCTTACAAACATAATATAGGTAATAAATGAAACATTTTAGACTTTATTGATTTATGTAGTTGTTGCATGTATTCAAATATTCCCGTTATAAATGTGTGCCCGCTCAGCCATTCTTTTCATTTCCCCTGTCTTCAGTTGAATGCTTGTTGCTCTCCATTACTCGTGTACACCGTTAGGTTTCCTCTGGCATCTTGATCCTTTTCTATTGCCTCAAACAAAGACTTGAAATTACCAGCTCCAAAACCCTGCAATATGAATAGTTGTATCATATAGTATGGTGATGAGCATTTTCTACTTTCAAGATTCCTGAAAATACAATTTTAGATTTTTTTTTTTTGTTTCACACGTTTATTTACTTATTTATAGCATGTTTATGCACAACTTTAAACATTTGGGGGCCCATTTTTAACAGAGAGCAGATATTGCTATCCACTCTTTACTCTAAGTTCTCATGCACACTGGCCGTTTTTACAGCTGCTGTTGTTGGCTTTTGATGTTTTTTTCTACAGCCAGTAAACCCCCCAGCATGTTATCCTGTGTGTTCATGCACACATAGACTGTAGCGTTTTTTCACAGGGGCGTTTTTTGGCTGGAAAAAACTCCCAGAACTAGTGGGTTTCTAGAGCAGTTTTTTAGCTGTAAAACACTCTAATGCTTAAAAATACGGCAAAATGGGGTAAAATGCAGTAAATCGGTCAAAAAAACGCAACCACGGAAAAATGTGAAAAATCGCAGCAAAACGCCGCTAAACGCTAATGCAAAAACTCTAACAAATGCTGAAAAACTCAAGTTTTTAACTTGACTTTATACAGCTAATCTTACCAGCGTTACTAAAACGCCCAGTGTGCATGATTACTCTACAACCATGGACTGATTTTTTTCTTTTTAATGCCTGCTGTGTCAGTACCTGAATGTAACCTGATGCCAGCCTTGTGCACCTCTGTGTAGCAGGGCTGGAGTTTGAGAGGAAGAAACAGCACAAGGAGCCAGTCAGTTCATGAGAAGGAGCATGCTGATAGGAGGAGAGAGAAGAGTGTCCGAGAGATTAGCTTATCACTGTGCTGCTTCTCCTTTCGTTGCTCAGTCACAGGTTGGGTGGGTTTAGTGTGACCTGGGCTCAGAGGAGTGGGTTGAATGATGCAGGGTATCAGTCTACGGACGTCTAATGCAGAAAAAATGTACTGTAGGGATAATCACTAGATTGAAGGTGAATATTTCATCAGAAGCTGATATGTTATCTTTTATTGAGCCATTAGTTGTTATCTATTATATTTGACTGGAGTCCTGCTTGTCATGTTTCCGGCCGTATAGCGCATATGTGTCACTGTGTTGCCAATGTTTCTGTGCTGAGAGTGCGCACAATGCACACACTCAGCACAGAAACTGAGCTGCCAAAGACAGCTTTCAGTCCAGAATAATGATCAGTAGCCGGCAGGTTCAGCTCCTGATCATGTGACCAATGTGACAGCCTATCACATTGGTCACATGATCCTTGATTCTACTCCCTGGGCATTCAGAACTTTTTAAATGGACGTTGCAGTGGGTGTAAAGGGGTTAAGATACAGGCCAAGGTGTGTAGCCTGCAGCATGTCAGAGAGTTATCTCTGCTTAAAGTAGCAAAGAGAACTATATGATTAGTAGAGATGCTGGTCACATGATCGAGTACTCCTAGAAACTTTTAATTTTTTAAAAAATTTTACTCAACTCTTTATAATAATAGGAAGTCAAGTCAGTGTGGTGTAAACACAGCTGTGCTTGATAAATGAAATAAAATAATTTAAAAATAATTATTTAAAAAAATAATAAAAAAAAAAAAAGTTAGCAGCTACAAAAACTGTAGCTGTTGACTTTTAAAATACAGACACTTGGGTTTCGGGGATTCTATTCTCTCTTGGATTCAAGCCTTGTATTCCTTTCCTTCGGCTTCCGTTAAATACGCTGGGTATTTCTCGGATCCCTTTCCTGTTGGGCGAGGGACGAGGCAGGGCTGCCCGCTGTCCCCGGCGCTCTTTGTCCTGGCGCTTGAGCCACTGGCTTTAGCGCTCCGGACCGACTGCAATGTATCGGGGGTTCCATACGCGGGACAGGAGTTTAAGCTGAGCCTCTTTGCGGACGATGCCCTCTTGACCCTTACTAATCCTCTGACGACGCTTCCTAATTTGCAACGGGTTCTTGAGCGCTTTTCCTTGATCTCGGGTCTACGTATTAATTTGGATAAAACCGTTGCTCTCAATATTACTTTGGCTTCAGATTTGGTTTCGCGCCTACAATCCCACTTCCCTTACCGGTGGGCTTCCTCTTCTCTTGAATACTTGGGCATTCGCTTGACCCCCACCTATGACTCCCTTTTTGCTGCAAATTATTATCCTTTGCTTAGCTCCTTATCTTCTCTTATGCATTCCTGGCAATTTCCGCACCTGTCTTGGATAGGACGGGTTCATTCAGTGAAAATGACCATCTTGCCGAAATTGTTATATTATTTTCGCACCCTCCCAGTGCAAGTTCCCCCTCATTTTCTTCGGTTGCTTCAGGCGAAGTTTATGCGTTTTATCTGGGCCAATAAGCATCCCAGAGTTTCTAGAAATACGCTCTTTGCTCATAGACTCCAAGGTGGTCTTGGGGTACCCAATGTAACTAAGTATTATCAGGCGAGCCAAATTGCCCCGCTGTCTATGTTGCACGCTTCCTCCGATGTTCCTCTCTGGGTCCTGCTGGAACTGCCTAATTGTGCCCCTATCGCACTATCGACACTTCTATGGCTTCCCCCTGCCCTGCGCCCTACGGTGCTGAGTCCGATGTTGCTCCATGGCCTACGAGTCTGGGACTCGGTACGTTACTCCAGTGGCCTGATGTCACCTTTCTTGCCCTTGCTTCCAATCGTTAATAACCCTCTTTTCCCACCGGGTCTAGATCACCCGAGGGCATTTTCTTGGTGGGTGGCTCATGGTTTCTCACAGGTGCGACACTTTTTGATTTTTCGGTCCTTTCCCACCTGGAATGTCTTCCGGGAGTCTCGGGATGTTCCCCCAGCGGAAATTTTTTTCGGTACCTTCAATTGCGGCACTGGCTACTCTCACTGAGGGCCACTTCTGCTTTCCCATATCAGACATCTGCCTTTGAACGGCTTTGCCAGCAGCGTCCGGGCGCCCCGGGCCTTATCTCCCTTCTTTACGCAGCTTTGAACAGATGCTCGTCGCACACTTCTCTTTCATATGTAGTTCAGTGGGAACGCGACCTGGGAGTGGCTGTGGATCCGGAGGACTGGAATAAAGCCTGGTCACTCATAGCTAAATGTTCGTTTAATACGACCACGCTGGAAGCAGCCTATAAGGTATTGTTTCGTTGGTATTGGGTGCCGGCTCGTTTGGCCCAGGCTAACCCTGCCTGTAGTGATCGATGTTTTCGGGGTTGTGGCCATCGTGGCGATGTACTGCATATCTGGTGGTCATGCCCGAGGTTGGTTCGTTTTTGGTCTCGTGTGTTTGGCCTCCTTTTCACTTTGTTTCATCTCTCCATACGCCGGGATGCTCGGTATGCTTTGCTTCATTGCCCCATACCGGGCCTCTTGGCTCGTCAGCAGCGATTGGCTTCCTATTTGTTTTTATCGGCCACTAGGACAATTGCCCAGGCCTGGAAGAGTCCGTTTGTACTTTTTCAGGGGGTGCGGGATCGTATGACTACTATGATGCTCAATGAACAGATGTCGAGTATATGCAATGACTCTCAACATAAATTTTTGAAAATATGGGAACCGTGGTTGCAATATGCCTTTCCCACGCTCCCCCCGGCCAGTGTAGGGAGGTGATGGAGTTTTGTATTGGCGCTCATGGACCCTTGCTCTCTGATGTGTGTTTTTTTTTTTTTTTTTCTCTTTCTTTCTTCTCTGCTTTTCTTCTTTCCTTTTATGTTTGTTTTGATGTGACAGTGGACAGCTGTCTTTAGTTGCGTTGATCTGAGTTTCACTGATGTTATTGTAACCTATGTGCCATTGATAGCCCCTACGTGGGCATACGTTTTGCCTTATTGGAATTAGAGCGTTGTCTGCTCTATTATACATTTTCTATCGGTGCAATTGATAGCCCCTGCGTGGGCGTGTTTTGTTGCCTCTGTTTTATACTGTTTAAAATTAATAAAAACCATTGAAATACAAAATACAGACACTTATGCAGGCCATAGATGGGGAGAAAACCGGCCATTTTTTTAACAAAAAAAGAAAAATCGGTTGTTCAATAGGCCAACGTTACCACCAACAGTAAAATAAATCGGCCGATTTTCTTCCCGTCTACGGCCGGCATTTAATTGCTTCTGTCCCTGCAGAGAGCCCCACTATTAAATTTGACATTATAACGCGGTTGCAACATTGACATTTGTTGCAAAAAGTAACGATACATTGTTGCAGCCGCAATAGTTTTTTGCAAATATAATACACTTCTCCTCTTCTTTCTCTTCTTCTTCTTTCTCTCTTCTTCTTTCTACTCTTCTTTCTCTTCTTCCTCTTCTTCTTTCTACTCTCTTCTCTTCTTCTTCTTCTTTTCTTCTTCTTTCTTCCTCTTCTTCTTCTTCCTCTTCTTCTTCTTCTTCCTTTTTCTTTTTCTTTTTCTTCTTCTTTTTCTTCTTCTTCTCTTCCTCTTCCTCTTCTTTTTCTTGCAGGTCACGGCTCATGCGCAGATTTTTTTTATCGGTAAAAAGATCGGCCGATTTGCCCATCATTGCTGCGAAAATCGGCCGATCAGCAAAATCGGCCGATTTTTTTCCAACTTTACCGATCAAAAAAATCTGCCAAAATCCAGAAAAACAGGCTGACCAATTAACCCATTAACAGTGCAAAAATTGGCCGATTTTTTTTTTTCGGTTGAAAAATCAGCTGATTTTCGACTCATCTATGGCATGCATTACCTGTCCCTCGGTACAGCGGTGTCTTCACAACCGCTGGGTTCACCATCCGTCTTCTCTACCTGGAGCCGCCATCTTCAGTGTAGGCACCCGGCTGTGACAGCTGGCGGCTTCCCAGCCGGGTGCCCACTGTGAAGCGCTGCGCTTTGTGAATGGCCCCGTAGTCTTCTGGGACTTGTCACGTATCCCAGAAGACTACGGGGAGGGAGGGTAGGACATCTTCCGCTTCCGATCGCCTAGGCGATTGCAGCGGAAGTAGGAGCGGGTACCTGTCAAATTCAATTACCCGCTCCCCAAAGGTGCCAATCCTTAATGGGGAGCGGGGGACAAAGGCTTAAAGCGGAACTTCCCCTTTTGGGTGGAACTCTGCTATAAATAAGCAGTATTGCCGTGGTCAGGTCATAAGCACTGTTTTATACACTGTGAGGAAAGTCCATTTTTTTGTTCTTGTGCTCGTGTTATATCACATAGACTATTACAGTGTCATATGCACACCTGTGTGTTTCCCCGGGGGAAAGGGGGGGGGGAATTTTTGTGTTGCCTAGGGCAGCACACAAAGGAAATACACCACTGACCCTGCCCAGTGAGAATACTTCAGTGGTCAGATATGGATACCTATAGTTTATATGCTGAAGATAATTTATGTGTTTCCCTGAAAAATATAGTAAACCCAAAATTTAATTGAAAAAAATCTTTCTGTGTGTGCACTACAGCCGTGGCCAAAAGTTTTGAGAATGACACAAATATGAATTTTCGCAAAGTCTTCTGCTTTAGTGTTTTTAGATCTTTTTTGTCAGATGTTACTATGGTATAATGAAGTATAATTACAAGCCTTTCATAAGTGTCAAAGGCATTTATTGACAATTACATTAAGTTAATGCAAAGAGTCAATATTTGCAGTGTTGGCCCTTCTTTTTCAAGACCAATGCAATTCACCCTGGCATGCTGCCAATCAACTTCTGGGCCACATCCTTACTGATGGCAGCCCATTCTTGCATTATCAGTGCTTGAAGTTTGACAGAATTTGTGGGGGCTTTTTTATTCACCCGCCTCTTGAGGATTGATCGCAAGTTCTCAATGGGAATAAGGTCTGGGGAGTTTCCTGACCATGGACCCAGAATTTCGATGTTTTATTCCTCAAGCCACGTAGTTATCACTTTTGCCTTATGGCAAGGTGCTCCATCATGCTGGAAAAGGCATTGCTTGCCACCAAACTTGTTAGTGAGTTGGGAGAAGTTGCTCTCAGAGGATGTTTTTGTACCATTCTTTATTCATGGCTGTGTTCTTAGGCAAAATTTTTGGAGTGACCCACTCCCTTGGCTGAGAAGCAACCCCACACATGAATGGTCTCGGGATGCATTACTGTTGGCATGACACAGGACTGATGGTAGCGCTCACCTTTTCTTTTCTGGACAAGGTTTTTTATTTTTGGATGCCCCAAACAATAGCAAAGGGGATTCATCAAAAAAAATTACTTTACCCCAGTCCTTAGCAGTTCAATCCCTGTACCTTTTTGCAGAATATCAGTCTGTCCCTGATGTTTTTCCTGAAGAGAAGTGCCTTCTTTGCCGTCCTTCTTGACACCAGCCATCCTCCAAAAGTCTTTGCCTCAGTGTGTGTGCAGATGCACTCACACCTGCCTGCTGCCATTCCTAAGCAATCTCTGCACTGGTGTTGCCCCGATCCCGCAGTTGAATCAACTTTTGGAGATGGTCCTGGCGCTTGCTGGACTTTCATGGGTGCCCTGAAGCCTTCTTCACAATAATTGAACCTCTTTCCTTGAAGTTCTTGATGATCCGATAAATGGTTAATTTAGGTGCAATCTTAGTAGCAGCAATATCCTTGCTTGTGAATCCCTTTTTGTGCAAAGTAGTGATGACTGCGCTTGTTTCTTGCAGGTAACCATGGTTAACAGAGGAAGAACAATGATTTCAAGCACCACCCTCCTTTTAAAGCTTCCAATCTGTTATTCTAACTCAATCAGCATGACAGAGTGATCTCCAGTCTTGTCTTCATTAACACTGGCACCTATGTTAACAAGAGAATCACTGACATGATGTCAGCTAGTCCTTTTGTGGCAGGACTGAAATGCAGTGGAAATATTTTTTTGGGGATTAAGTTAATTTTCATGGCAAAGAGGGACTTTGCAATTAATTGCAATTCATCTGACCACTCTTCATAATATTCTGGAGTATATGCAAATTGTCATCATAAAAACTGGGATAGCAGACTTTGTGAAAATTAGAATTTGTGTCATTCTCAAAAAATTTGGGTCAGGGGTGTACTTTTCTCTGTTGATGTTTCTGTCACTATTGGACTATTCATCACTGGCAGTTACAGTCAGGTCAAAGTGTTAGCCAGCATTTTGTTTAACACAAAAAAATCCACATGTTGACAGATCACCTATAGCAACCTGCATGTCAGAATGGGTGGGGTCCAAAGGATGCACCAAAGTGAAAAAGAGACAAGATGGAAAATTAAATATACACGAGAAATAAAAAACACAGCAATATGTTATTGGCAGAAAACATTACAAATGTGAAATTGCTGTTTAAAGTATATCTGTCATTGCAAGGATGGTAAACTTCTCTAAGGATGGTATTTCAAGTGTTTCCAATTGCCTTCTCAAAGACTCAGTTGCCTCGTTGAATGCCTCTGGTGCCCCCAAGCCCCAAAACACTAATGCAAACACCAACTTTCAGCTATGTAGGCAGTGTTTGGCCCCATTTGCCTTTGGTGCTTCATATTTGATCTATAATTGCTATTTACAACTTAGATTGCCATGGGTTGTGCGGCTCTTGGGATCTCATAGAAGATAGCTGAGGCACCTATAGCTGCCCAGTGTACATCACACTGACAACTTACTGAACACTGATTGCAGGTACACTGTTACTGTACACACTTATTATTTAAAAAGGAACATCTACTATAACTCACATGATGATTGTATCTTTGTATAACTTCTATAAAGAGAGTGGGCCTGTCCTGCATTGGCTTGGAGAAGATTTGAAGAAGGTAGCCTTTGTCGTCATAATCAATTAATATTCTGAGCTCCTGTAAATAAGAAAAAACAACATAAAACAGACTGCAAAACTGTATCATTTATATAATTTGCTTGTTAAATAACAATAATACCTGTAGCACACTCAAATCTTCTTTCACTGTGATCTTGGCAGTTTTTAGTTGTTTTCTTAGATCCTCGTAATAGGTGTCAGGAGCAGAAAGAAACTCTATGCCACGAGATTTCAGATGTTTCACCTGCAGGCATATATTTAGTTTTAGAAATTACATTTGATAAATAGTGAAATAAATAAACCAGTTAGTTATCTGCAGACAAGATGGCATGACTGCATGACATGACTGCATCTGTATATGTATTTACTCACTATGTAACTTTTCTTTTGTACTCTGTAGTATCAATATTAGAAATGAATGTCTAGATTTGTAAGATGGTTATACAGACTAGGCTGATTACTACTAATTACAGGTCAAGTGTGATGCTCCAAATGACCTGGGTATGCCTTAGATTAGGGGTTTCCAAACTTTCTAAAAAAAAGGGCCAGCTTATTGTCCTTTAGACTTTTGAGGGGCTGAACTGTGGCCATTGGGAGTAGAAAATGCCTCAGTGCTAGTGGGTGTTAACAATGCCTAAGATTTGTTGGTCAATGGGAGTAAAAACATTACATTACAAAATGTAATGTCAGTAGGTGGAGAAATTGTGCCCATCATTGGTGTTAGTGGAAGGAATGGTGCCCCATTGTTGGTGTCAGTGGGAGGAATAGTGCCGCATTGTTGGGGTCATTGGAAGGAATAGTGCTCCATCGTTGGTGTCAATAGAAATAATAGTGCCGTATTGTTGGCATCAGTGGGAGGAATAGTGCTTCATATTAGTGGAAGGAATAGTGCACCAAGGGTAAAGGTTGCAGTTTGTAAACCTCTGCTGGAGAGTATACTTTGTGGATGGCAGTATGTGCTCTGTTTGTTACAAATGATGCACTCGGAACAGGTGACTATGTGACCATCTAGGATCTAGTGGGCAAATGATTGCTTTCAATCACTGCACTTGGTAAGACCAAATAAATGTAAACCAGCACTTCTGAGTGTGCAGAATAAAGAACATGTACAATGAAGGAAATAAGTATTTGATTCCCTGCTGATTTTGAATGTTTGCCCACTCACAAAGAAATTATCAATCTACAAATCGAATGGTAGGTGTATTGTAACACAGAGACAGAATAGCAACAAAAAATTCAAAAGAAATGCATGTCTAACAAATTATGCACTGATTTGCATGTTTATGAGGGAAATAACTATTATGATCCCCTATCATTCAGCAGGATTTCTGGATACCAGGTGTCTTTCATACAGGTAACAATCTCATTGTGTTATCTGTATAAAAGACACCTGTCCACAGGAGCAAGCAAACAATCAGATTCCAAACTCTCCACCATGGCAAAGACCAAAGAGCTGTCCAAGGATGTCAGGGACAAGATTGTAGACCTACGCAAGGCTGGACTGGGCTACAAAACTATTGCCAAGCAGCTTGGTGAGAAAGTGACAACAGTTGGTGCAATCATTCACAAATGGAAGACACACAAAACAACTGTCAGTCTCCCTAGGTCTGGTGCACCATGCAAGATCTCACCTTGTGGAGTGTCAATGATCATGAGAACAGTGAGGAATCATCCCAGAACTACACGTGAGGATCTTGTCAATGATCCCCAGGCAACTAGGACAACAGTCACCAAGAAAACAATTGGTAACACACCAACAAGGATTGAAATCCTGCAGTGCCCACAAGGTCCTTCTACTCAGGAAAGCACATGTCCAGGCCCATCTGAAGTTTGCCACTGAACATCTGAATGATACAGAGGAGGACTGGTTGAAAGTGTTGTGGTCAGATGAGACCAAAATCAAGCTCTTTGGCATCAACTCAACTCGCCGTGTTTGGAGGAGGAGGAATGCTGCCTATGACCCCAAAGAAACACCATCCCAACTGTCAAACATGGTGGTGGAAACATTTTTCTTTGGGGGGTGTTTTTCTGCTAAGGGGACAGGACAACTGCACCGCATCAAAGGGACGATGGACGGGGCAATGTACCGTCAAATCTTGGGTGAGAACCTTCTTCCCTCAGCCAGGACATTGAAAATGGGTTGTGGATGGGGGTGTTCCAGCATGAAAATGACCCAAAACCCACGGCCAGGGCAACAAAGGAGTGGCTCAAGAAGCACATTAAGGTCCTGGAGTGGCCTAGCCAGTCTTCAGACCTTAATCTGATTGAAAATCTGTGGAGGGAGGGAGCTGAAAGTTTGAGTTGCCAAATGTCAGCCACCAAACCTTAATGACTTAAAGAGGATTTGCCAAGAGGAGTGCGCCAAAATCCCTCCTGAGATGTGTGCAAACCTGGTGGCCAACTACAGGAAACGTCTGACCTCTGTGATAGCCAACAAGGGATTTGCCACCAAATACCAAGTCATGTTTTGTGAAGGGGATCAAATAATTATCTCCCTTATGAACATGCAGATCAGTGCATAATTTGTTAGACATGCATTTCTTTTGAATTTTTTGTTGCTTTCTGTCTCTCAGTGTTACAATACACCTACCATTCGATTTTTAGACTGATCATTTCTTTGTGAGTGGGCAAACATTCAAAATCAGCAGGGGATCAAATACCTATTTCCTTCACTGTATATACCACAAAGCCCACTAAAAGAAAATTCTCCAGAACAAAATCCACTCTGCTAAATAAAATAATGCATACAAAAATGGTTTAAAAACACAAAACATGAAAACTGCAATGGAACCTGTACAATATGCAGCACTCCACAATTAATTAAAAACACAAACAGGCAAAAACATACCCACATATCCCCATATGTCATCACCAGTCGTTCCTAAATATGCAAAATGATCAGCAGCCAAATAGGATACTCATGTAGAACCCTAAAATAGCATAGCATTGGTGGGGTTTGAATGACCTTGGGATCACTATTTGTTTAAATCGCTCCCTCTAAGCATTAGCTGCTTGTCCCTTTTACTTTGTAGAAAATGGAGCAAAACAGTCTTTTAAACTGATTCATCATATGGGTTGGAAAGGATAGCTTGGTAATTCTTGAAGGCGTAATAACGTATTTATCTATACTTTTTCAGTTCACTTCTTTCTGGGCAACATGTCCCCACCTATGGCTGGTGGTATCACAGATATGTGGATACCTTTTGTTTTCAGAAGACAGAGGACTTTCACACCAATCATTGACTAGGTCACATTATCTTGTACTGCTTTTGGCAGATTATAATACAGTTAATGATTAAAATTGTCCTGCTAAATTTTGTCTGTAATTTATTTCATCCAGATTTTCACTAATTTGTGTAAAGAAAAATAGAAAACATAAATACCCAACATTATGTTTGCTGCTAGAATTGTTATATAAATTTAATTGCCAATGCAACTTTAATTTTAATTCCTTCATAATAACTTAGAGCAAAAGGAGACTTAAAAAAATATAAAGCAGACAAGTTTCAAAACATATACAGGTATTCATGCACAAACTCGCATATGTAAACACACCACCCTCTTAGCCAAACAGCACAGAGATCAAAGCCTTAGTCACAGGAGGACTTGCCCCTCCCTCCGTTGCCTATTCTTTTATACCTATCTGTCTGCATTACTCACTGCTTTGATGATGTCGGAAGTATTAAGTGCAATGTGCTGTACACCAGCACCATCATAGTAGTCCACGTACTCCTGTAAAATATTAAAGCAAGGAAAGAGGTCATCCTTTTAAACTATGTCAGTTTTGTTTTTACCATATCCTTATGTACAGTAAACACTTAAAAAATACAGGAAGAATACATTATGTTCATATAACATTTATACGTATGGATATGTGTGCACGTAGAAAAAGGGAAAATAATGCTAACCATGCTGTCATGGTTTTCTGTGTAGGACTTCAGTTTGTGCAATGCTGCTAGACTCATCTGCCTAACCAACCACTCAGTGTCTTCCACCCCTCCCTGCCAATTCCTCCATTGGCTACCAGTTGCCTAGTGAATTAAATTCAAATACTAACAACAACATACAAAGCCATTCACAAGTCAGTCCCGGGCTAAATCACCAATCTGGTCTCAAAGTATCACCCAACTTGTCCTCTCTGCTCCTCCCAAGACCTATTGCTCTCTATCTCTCTTGACTCCTCCTCCAATTCTCTTCTTCAAGACTTCTCCAGAGCCCTTTCCATCCTCTGAAATTCTCTACCCCAGTCTGTCCAGCTATCTTCTATTCTGGCCACCATTAAGCGATTCCTGTAAACTTATCTCTTCAGGGAAGCCTATCCCACCTCCACTTAACAAATGAACTTTTAATTCTTCCATCAGCTCATCCCTCATAGTTATTATCTTTTGTACCCCCTTGCTCCACCCTATTAGATTGTAAGCTATATGAGCAGGGCCCTCTTAACCCTCTTGTATTTTATTGTATTGTAACTGTACTGTCTCCGTAGTAAAAAGCTGTGCAAACTGTTGGCGCTATATAAATCCTGTATTATAATAATAATAATAAAATAAGTATAGGTGGGAAATGGCAAACAATAGAGTAAGGGCATCTGATAAATTGTTGCTCTGCATAGATTTTACTGGTTGAGTAAATGAATGGTAGGTATTAGGCCTGGACTGTCAACATGGTACTTTGCTAAAACATCTTAATTGTCTGAGAGTATCTGTGGGCCAACTTGGTTTATTGTTTCTGTTTTCGTAGGTCAGCCCTGTATAATTAAAATAAGGTGTGACAATGTAAAATACCAGTTGGTGAGTACATAAAACAAAGAGAGGCTGCACTATGTTTTTTCTAAATTGTTTATGGCCCCTCAAATATTGTTTCAGGTTTTTTTTGTCCGTTGTTTCATTTTCAAAGTATGTCTCAAGGCAAAAACTTTTTCTCTCTTCTGTAGAGAGAAAGGTAGCAACAGAGATCCTTTGATCTTGATGATTGAGTTATAGCACCACATACAGGAGTAGGAAAAGTGGCAAAAAAAAAACAAAAGTACAGCCTAGGGTTGGCTCCTGCTGGTAGTCAAAATCCTCATAGTGCTAAGACATAAGGTCCTAGGCTCCATGCTGGGAATTCATTCCCTTTGTTTTGCAGGGAGTTCTTTATTTTTTTTCCTTCAGTCTATAGATACCTTTCTCCCCCTGCTCCCCTGTCAAGGCGGTGCAGTACATTTAGTTTAACTGGGCTTGTGGGCTTTCCTTGTGTGGATGGCAGGTGACAGGTTTACCCACAGCTACCATCTACACTTCCACAGCCAGTGTTGTCCCAAGAGAAAAATTAACCAGAGAACACCATTCCTACAGTCAAACACGGAGGTGGAAACTTTTATGCTTACGGGCTGTTTCTCTGCTAAAGGTATAGGCCAACTTTGCCACATTGAAGGGCCAATGGACGGGGCCATGCATTGTAAAATCTTGGATGAGAAACTTCTTCCCAGAACACTTAAGATGGGACGTGAATGGGTCTTCCAGCATGACAATAACCCAAAACATACCAGGCATACAAGGCAACAAAGGAGTGACTCAAGAAAATGCACAAGGAAACCTTAAGGATTTAGAGAAGGTCTGTAAAGAAGAGTGGACCAAAATCTCTTAACAAGGGTTTCTCCACCAAGTACTAAGTCATGTTTTGCTTGGGGATCAAATACTTATTTTACTCACTGAACTGCAGCTCAGTTTATAACATTTGTATCATGTGTTTTTTCTGCATTTTTGGTTGATATTATGTCTCCATCATTTAAAATACACCTATGATAAAAACTATAGACCCTTTATTTCTTTGTAAGTGGGCAAACCTAAAAAATCTGCAGGGTATCAAATAATTATTTTCCCCACTGTACTTCAAAACATGTTACTATTACTTTTTTATTTCCTCATATTTAAATACAAATTTACATATAAACAAAGGAAAAAGGAAACAAAATAGAAAAAATAACTATTTCCACCCTAAAAATTTTAAAATATTAGCATGGCCCTAAGATATTTCCAGTCATGGTGGTTTTCATCTATAGAGAAGGAGGTGAAAATCAACACTGTCTCATCCAAAAAAGTATTCAAAATATTGAACATTAACATTCTGCAAGCTTGGAATCTGATTACCTGAATCTGTGACTTTTTCTTTCCAGCAGCTGGCTCATTTATTGGCATTTTTATGGTCTCTTCATAATTTGTTACCACAATTGAACGTAATGCACTATATTCGGTATGAACCTGTTTGTCATCTACAGACCAGAATCTATGAAATAGCAAGCAATTTTGATACCTAGAAAATTATGAAACAAGAAGATCAATCTATTTTGATTTTATTATCAATATTGATAACAAACTAATGTAATAGAGGTGGGAAAACACTGCATTGCATTTAAAACAGGTAAATAAAAGAGTTGCTATATGAAAGCTGATAAGTGCAATAATTAACATCACAAATGTGGTAGTGTTCACTTGTAGTTCAAATATACAGTAGTTCTATTTGCAGCAGGCTGTTAGCTTTTTGATGGCAATTCTCTTAAAATATTATTTTTGAGATAGAAAATGATTGTGAAAATATTTGTGTATTATGTAATAAACTATTTCCTTTAAATTCTTTACATGGTAGCTTCAGAATCTAAATAAGGAACCAAAAGATGTTTGTCTACTTCAACGAGTGCTGCCATTAATACATTACATCCAAAATCAAGTTATGAAGTTTTATTCGGATAGACGTCTAGGTGCCAGGTGGGTACTTAATTCAAAATAATACTTCTAGCATCCTGAAAGCATCCCCAAACAGCAGCTGTTATGACAGTGTCTGTATTAAAAATTTTCTCCAGTATATCCTGGCTGGGACTACTTGATGGCATTAACAGAGGGGAGTGGAACTTAAATTAACTGTGGCTGCGTTTTCTGATACCAAGTGGATGTGTTTTCAACACATTTGCAGCTATTCGTCGTGAAACTGTGCATACATTGAATCTTTGGAAATTGGGGCAAAATCGAATGTTAATGGGAAATTTTCTCTCCAGTTCGAATGTTCTTTAGAGAGGATCCAAACACATCTAAGCACATCCATAGTGGTCAGTGATGCAGTGGATGGCTGAACACAGTAATACTGGATTCGAGATTGTAGTTCACAACAGGCCAACACTGTGAGCTGCTTACTATGATGTGTGCAAGGTACAGGAGAGGGATTGTATGAAGGAAAACTCCATTTTGGCAGTTGGGGTTTGCTTGAATGTGCTCTGGGTTATTGCTTGCCCTAACACTTGCTGGGAGGTTTGCTGTCATGTTCTACTTCAGTCCAGAGATTTTCCCTGCAGTTCCCTGCCATCATAATTCAACCCACTTCCCCTGAGCTCTGGTTATTCTGGCTCTGCCCCTGGCCTGTGACTGGACAGTGAACAAAGAAGCAGAACAGTGATAAGCTGATCTCTCTATCACTCTGTCATCTACTCCTACCTCCTGTTTCTTGTTAGAAAATGAACTGATTGGTTCCTTGTGCTGTTTCTTCCTGCTACAGTCCCCCTTAAACTTGCCTGAGCCCTATCTCGATCCAGTGATGTGTACGAGAACGCCACCAGGTCTCTTTCTTCTCATTGGCTGATACAGCAGCGGTAGCCATTGGCTCCAGCTACTGTCAATCACAGCCAGTGAGCCAATGAGAAGTGAGCACAGGGGAGGGGGGGTTGCAGAGCCGGGCATTCCGTGTGTGAATGGACACAGAGCAATGGCTCGGGAACAGCTTGCTATAGGGGCACTATGCAGGAGGGAGGGGCCAGAAGAGAAGGATTAGGGCTGCTCTGTGCAAAACCACTACACAGAACAGGCTTGTATGACATGTCTGTTATTTTTAAACAAAAAAAAAATTATCACATTAAGTTGAAAAAAACCCCTTTTAATGGTAGCTCCCCCCCTAAAAAAAAATACTCACCTAAGCTCAATCTCATTCCAGTGCTGCGCATGTTTGCAGTAGTTCTTGTCTCCTCTCCCTGCTCTCAAAGGATTGGCTTAGAGCAGCAGAAGCCATTGACTTCTGATGCTGTCAGTCAAAGCCTGTAAGAAGAGTTCAGAGGGCGGGGCCAAGATACTGCTGTGTGTTTGATTAGACGCAAACAGCCCGCTCGGGATCGAGCATTTACGAGTGACCCTATAGGAAGTGGTTTCCTATGTGGGCACTTGGCGGGGGACCCCAGAATAGGAGGATTGGGGCTGCTGTTTGCAAACCTTTGAAATTTTTCTAATAGGTTTAAGATGGCAAATAGCATGCATATGCTGCAGAATAACACAAATATGGTCAGCGGTTAGCCCTGTCGACACCACTTTGCCCGACATCTTTTGATTGAAAAATCAAAGGAGGCAGGTGGAAAATTGTAGGAACTCAGGACACAATAGCCTCAGCAAGTTTGGCCTAATTGGCAAATTATACCACTATCAATCCAAAGAAATATCATCAGTATACATTTGAAGAATTAATGTCTTCTGTGAATCTACTGAAATATCTTCTTCAAGTCTTTAATTAAAAGCACATCTGAGTAAAAGTCTTAGGCTAGGTTCACATTCATGCAAGTTGAGGTTGATGCGTTTTTCCAGTGCGTTTTGTGGTGTGTTTTGTTTTTTAACACTTCTGTTATTATTAGTCTTTTAGAGACTGTGAAGAGTCCATGTTCTGCAGCTTTCATCATTTGTTTTGTAGTTGTGTTATTTCTGCAGCATACTTTATGCATGCTATTTGCCATCTTGAACCTATTAAAAAAATGTCATAAAAGTAGCAAGCACATATTAATTGGACAGGTTATTTAATGCCTCTCTCTATGTTATTCCAAACCATTAGTTTGGTATTTAGTTATCCTAATATTTGCTTACCAGTCCACCACGGAGAGCATATCATCATTAGCTTGATTTCCAACAATGTGATCAACAAATCTAAGACAACCTGGTGGCCTGTGGGAGGAAAGGGGCAGAGCAGTGAATTGTTGTTGTATTTAACCATTTTTGTTTTACGTATATAAAAAATACACAATGTATATTACTGTTACCTTGTCCTCCCATTTGTAATTATGTACACCTCTCATGTACACATTTTATATATATGTTAATATGGTTATGTTATAACATTTGCTCTCAATAAAACTTCATTGTGAAAAAATACACAGTAATGGCCCAGGCTAATTCACTATCGGATGATTTCACAAAGCAAAGGGCAGGAACATCAGAATTAAGTGTAACTATAGGCAAATTTTTTTTTCATTATTTTGGATACAGAGGTGAGGGGTTAGAACCATTGTCCATTTTTTCTCCCTGTCTGTGTCATATATATTTGCGTGCTGTAAGAAACCAAAAAATAGACCTATATATACTGTATAAAGATGCATTGCATTTCAGGTTTAAATCTGAACTTCAGAAAACCGAAAAAAATCCCCTTGCAGTCCCACTGCCAGGATTAACTGCCTGTTTATGTCTAGGGGACTTGGTAAAGCACTTTTACTTACCTATTAGACAGTTCTCCACAGCCTCTTCTCTCCTATACTCCAGTATCTAAGGTCCTCTGACATCATCAAGATCGATGCAGGAACCATAACCCTGCACTGGATGTGAGGATGCTGAGAAACGATAATCCACTGCTGGAGCATGGAGTACCATCTGCTGGGGGATTGGAAGTATCTGGAAAGTAAACCTGCTTTCCCATCCCCTAGACATAAACAAGCTGGTAAATCTACAGTCCAGGCACAGCCCCACTGCTAGGGGTTTATAGGTTTCCTGGAGTTGGACTTTAAAGTACAGTGCAAGATCAGTCTATTTTAACAAAAGCTATTTTAATATTGTTTTTAAAAATAGGTGTGCCTATTATCACTATGAACTTACAGAGAAGAAAGCACCGGATCTCTAAACAGTGGCTCTTTAAAACCCGGGAGGAATAGACCTTGATATGGCCCCAGGTACTCAACAAGGGTATGTGTAGTATCTCCATACTGCAAAAGAAAAAAATAGTGAAATAGTAGCATGTTGTGCATTCTACAATGTCTATTAGTTCTCCTAGAAAGAATTTGCCGCAGGCACATAGCCTAGGAAGTGAAATGAAGTCCCCCCTCCCAGTGACTGTCAGAAGGGAAAACTAGCTCATCAGAAAGAAGCCAAAAGATCAAAGAGAAAGAGTTTAATCACTGGACAAAACAAGGCCTGCGGGGATAAGGGAAACAAATAGCAGCTTTCAATAATCTCTAGTGTCAGAAGAGAAATGATAATTCAATTAACCCTTCAATGAGAGTCAAAACGTACACGTACAGTTTGTAAAACAGCATATTTCACTTTGCCACCTTGATCTTCTTCAATCCATGGCTCTTTTACAACTATTGCCCCACGTTCTTTGGCTTTCTGTAAATAAGAAGGTCACACACAGAGTTAGGTTTTATAATTGAAGAGGTTCTCTTTGTTGCACCATTAAACATATGAAAGCCATGTAGAAAGCCTGCTGTTTTTAGTAAAGCTAGCCATATATGGAACAAAATTCGGCCAGTCCACCAGGGACCAGCCAAATTTTGATCCATGTATGGGCAGGCTGGTTGTACACAAGTCATTCTATCAATCGTCTGGTATACAATCAACCTGTTGGGGTATTCTGAAAAATCAGTGCCACCGGCTATAGCCTGCAGCACCGATCATTGTATTCTGATGGTGGGGAAGTCACCCCACCATCAGAACACAATGATTCAGTGGAGCGATTCTCCCATCCAGTGTGTGGATGGGGGGATTGGCAATTTTTTTTTTCATTCAGCCTGCTGGTTGAATGAAAAAAAAAGTTAATAATGTATGGCCAACCTTAGTTCAAGCCTGGGGTCTCCAATCTTTTCAGTACATAGGCTACATTGTATATTTTACATATATTCCTGTGCTGAAGACTGTGAGTGTGTGTTGAGCATAGCCTCTGCTGACCTGTAGCCACACCACAATCTGTGCACATTGAAGATATGCCACTAACCCTTTAAGGCAAGAAAAAATCTTGTAGTGGGCAGGATGTCACCCTTTAGCTATAGCCTGGTGACCCCTGGTCTAGTCATATTAATTTATTTATTAATTTAGCCATATTAATTAATTTGCACAAGAGAGAGAGAAGAACAGTGCAGCCCAGTCTGTGAAATCAATCTGTGAAATCAGCAGTTATTGCTGACTACATGTAGAAACAGTAAAATAACAAACTATAGACAGAAATAACCAAATATTGATACCAATGCAGCAACATAAATCTGACAGTAGTTCATTGTATCCCCACAGTATTCAAAGCAAAGAAAAAAAATTGCCTTACATTTGCTTACATTAGAACTTAGAACATTAGGGACATATTTATGAAAAAAAATTGGCAGAGCTATTCATCCTGTGTACTTGCATGTACATTCCTTATGTGTGCGACTGCTGGCCAAATATACTTTTACTAAGCTATTGTCTTTTCAGGTTCAATGTTCTATATTCATAAGAACATGAATCAGGAAAATACTGTATTATGGCCACTAGATGGAGATAAGGTTTATATTAAATAATAGGAAGACATTCTCTCTATTCCTGCTCTGCTGGCAGATCAAAATGTTAGATTCATCCTCATTTTCATTCCTGGTGACATTGGTTATCATGACATATAGAGGAAAAATCTCCTTAACAGGGACACAGACAACAATATAAGCTTGCCAGTGGTTCTGACCCTTCACCACTCTATCCAAATCTAAAATCAAATCTAAACCAAAAAAAAAAAAAAAAAAAAGTTTTGTCCTTAGATATTAGTAAACGTCATGTCTAAATAGATCGTACACTTGCAAATCATTGCCATTCTATTTGCCAGACACCTTTGTCTTTATTTTATTTCCACAAATAAAGAAGACATTTGAAGAGCTGATTATTCAGTTATAATATTAAACATTTGGTTTTTGTGTGGCATAACAAAAGCAGTTTTGCAATTATTAACTGGACAGTTCAGCAGAGGCGTCCCTAGGTTTGGTGTCACTCGGTGCCGGTGTAGCAGCACAATGAGTATCCCGACCCGTGAAGATATGTATCCCCTGAAGCAACTGCGCATGTGCCAGTTTCAGGCCGAAGCAGCTGATCTTCGACTTTAGCGCAGAGCTGCCACAGTTAACCCCTTACAGGCTGCAAACCACTGAAGCTGATCCCACAAATCACTATGAGTTGCAAGATCAGTTAGCCCCGTATAGGTTCAATGGGCGATCGGTTTCTTCGGCCTGAAACCAGCACATGCGCAGTTGTTTCAGGGGATACATATCTTCATGGGTCCGGGATACTCATTTTACCGCTACACTGGGGGCAGTTGTCACTGTGCTGGGAATCCGGGATCACCCCAATAACTGGACAGGACCTTCACAGAGCCCAGAAGCTCTGCTGGCATCCTGCTCCTGCACCCCCTGGTGTCATCCGGTGGGGCTTGCACCCCTGCACCCCCCTAGGGACGCCACTACAGCTCAGATATAGTCATTTTATGACTGAGGCTCCATCTCCACTTCAGCACATAAATATTTCACTGGAATATTTTGTTTTCCTTTTTCTTGGTGGCACTTATACTGTATTACACACTGTTTAATGGATAACATTGTTTTAATTGTCCTAAAACTTTCCACACAGGGACAGTCTGTGAAATTCTGGAGAGGTAGTGGCTCTCAATTTTGCTCGGTGACATTCTTAGTTGAAATTTGTCTTTCTTTTCTTTGTTTTTTATTTTATTTAGAAGGGTATGATTGGGGGTGTATTTAGGATAGTTTTGTTTATTTAATTTAGTGTTTTGTTTAATCTTACTTTTATAACTGTTTGTTTTTTTTTCTTCCTGTAATAAAAAGTAAACTAATGAGGCTAGTAAGAATCCCTTTTTGATACAAGAACAGGTCCAGGATGTTTATCTATTTCAGCACTGGAGCAATTTTAAATTTTTTTGGCACACATGTAAAATCTACATTTTTGGCTATCTGCATTTTGCAGGCCACGCTGCCTGCACTGTGAAAGTGATTGGCAGTACCAGACCACTTTCACGTTACAGCCAGGAGCTGGCTGAAGAAACAGAGCACAAATTAATAGCTGCTTCATATGCTTAACCCTACACTCCTTGGATGCACCACTGCTCTTTAGCCTTCACTGAATCAGAGACTCATATGCTTTTCACCAAAATGCTGAAGCTGTGCCCAAATCTGCCAGTTGTTGCTGACATTTTCAGTGTAGTTATAAATTTCAGTTTTACTGATCCCTATCCAGCAATAGGGTGTTTGCTAGCAGCTCTGATTCTGCCCCGCCTCTTTTTCTTTTTGGCCCAGAAGTCCCTAAATACCCATCAGCAGATTTGACTTCTCCAACTCCAGGACCCTGGCATGACCCCTGTCCTCCCACTATCTTTATTTAGAAGGATCAGCATGACAGTTCAAAAGTCAAAACACATAGTCACCACATATACAAGAAGCGAGAGACCGTGTTACATCTGCGTTAGCCAAGAAGCATACACAGGACAAGGACCCATGAACCCTATAAACACAAAAAGGTGGTGGCCGGGTAGCGTTTCACACCTACACACCAGATCATACCGACCCTCCCATTTGTCCTCCCACTACCTGATGGTGCACCTCTATTAGAAGCTAATAGTGTGAAAGCATGCCAAAGTTCCAAAAATGGAGAAGTCAGCACTTCATGAAGGAACTACAGGACATTGAGATAACATTTTGTGCAGAGATAAAGTATTATGAAAGCATATTGTGGTCCTAACCACTTCCTGATAGACTAACGCACATGTGCAGTTGGGCCTTAACACCAACATTCACCACTTAGGAGTCCATAGTGCACCTCTGTGTACTGAGAGCATGCTCACTGATCAGGTAATCCACCTCTGTCCCCGTCCTTCAGAATCTCTCAAACAGCCTGCAAGAGGCGCCGGCATTGGGGTAAGGTAGGCATTCATGGCTCAATGAGAGAAAGTCAATCTTTTACCCTATCCACGCTAACAGCATGGTTGGAGGAATCTCTAATGCTGGCTGTCGTGGTACTCATAAAATTCCCCCACTGGATTTTCTGTGAGATATAGCAATTTGCATGAATTTACTAGAATCTACCGAACACTGAAATAACAGGCTTTGGGAAGCATAGCCTTTTTACTTTACTAGCTGTTATAAATCTGTTACTAGATATATAATTGCCCAGTTTGCAAGGTTTAGGATATAGAGGTGATGTGTTGTTGAAATAACTTTTTGGCCTACAATCAGCCAATTACCTCATAGCCACTAGCATTTTAGGAATGACTTTACAGCTGGAACACGCATCAGAGTCTTTAAAGACATTTAGGCATCACCCTAATAGTTCTTATCTAGAAGAAACTTGAGTATGATCTAAATAAAATCAGGCTAGTCATTATGTAAAGTATACCTTTAGGTATAGTAAGCAATATGTGACAAAGAAGGGAAATAATGGTTTATGATAGTAAAGGTTTCATCCCTGTAAAAGTAACAAAACTGTATTCCTTTGTGTATCTGTGTCAGGAAGTCAAATTGCATGCTTTAAGTGTCTTATACGTGTTCTGTGGCACTGAAGACAAAGGGAAATCTTAAAGCAGAACTCCACTTAAAATTATTTTTCCATGCAGTGGGGCGGTGCCCGCACTGTATGAGTTAACTGCTCGTTTTGTCCAGGGGCTCTGGGTAAAGCTATACCTACCCTGTCCTCCGCGTGGAAAACCACGCTCCCCCATGTCCAGCTGTGGACTGCTCATGCTATCCTCAAGTCTGGAGCCAGTCTATGGGCATGATGACGTTAGGAAAAGCCCATCCACAAGACCACTAGCATAAGTATATCTCCACTTTCCAAACCCCTAGACAAAAACGAGCATTTAACCCAAGCAGTGCAGGCACAGCCCCACTGCATGGGAAAATACAATTTCTGTCCAGAATTATTCTTTAAGGAAGAGAGCAGTTTTAAACAAGGTGACTAAACTATATTAGTCTCTCTGTTCTGATTTCTTCACTACACCTTCTCTTCTGACCATACTAAGATCATTTACAAACAAGCTATCAGACTCTTAGATGATCCTTTCATGCCCCAACATGCACATCCTTTACTGCCAGGAGCACTTGCTTAACTTTCAGAGATGGAAAAATTCCAACCTGCCAAATCCCTTGGGATGCTAGTCTCCTGAAGTGCTTAATTCCCCTATTTTCCACATTCACAGTATTATTTTTACTCCACAAATCCAGAGGCACTTTAAATAGTTATTTCAGTAGACCATTTTGCCTGTTTTACTGTAAGATAGACTTTTTTCATTCATTGGCCTTCTATAGATTGGCTTTGGCTTGACAGCAGTTCAGGTTTTTAGTGGTCCAACATGCCCCGTGTTCAGTTCTCCA